GGAGGTCCGGGTTCGATTCGCAAGGGTTTTCGTGGTTTCCCTCGGTCACAAGGCGAATGCTGGGATGGTTCCAAAAATCTTACGAACACCTTGCACTATCCCACACGAACACCTACCCTAGTCATTTCACCCCTCATCACCTTATAATGATAATAGTAATGATAGTAATAACAATAATAATATCCTATCCCCTCTATTGATATTCAAGGCTAAGAACCTTGTCTTAACCAAGGGATGCACTAGAAAGGCTGATCGCCATAATTCTACGCGTTCATCTCTCCAGGATAAGTACAACTGGGCCTCGGAGGGAGAGAAATGTGTTGCATGGTCAGAAGTGGCCCATATATGAATAATAATAGTAGTAATAATAATAATAATAATAATAATAATAATAATAATAATAATAATAATAATAAAATATATGTGAAAGTTGTTTCTTTAATAAGTATTTGAAATACATTTAATTTAAAATGCTATTTTTTTACTTCTTTCTAAATTTCAGAAGTTTCTTTCCGACTACAAATATTTGACCAAGAGCTTCTTCTACAACATACTTCTAAAGCCGTGGCTTGGAACAGGGCTCATTCTTTCCACAGGCAAGTAACTAAACACAATTAGAATCACACAGAAGTTTTAATCTCTTACAAATTCTTATAAGTTATATTCAAAATGAAATTTTAAATAAAATTAAATTTTTAAGTTATGTAAACGTACCATATCTGTTAATTCTAATTACGAGCATGCAATTTTTCAGAATTTACTTCCTACCAAAATAAATCAAAATCCATGAGAAATCGACAATTTTTCCACACAAAATAGCCTTTAAGCGTATCTTTGCAGCACACCTGTAAAAACAGTGATGTTTACCATTTATCCTATTCAGTAGATATGTTTCTTTAAATTTAATGAATGGTCTTAAAAATAAAAGGAACTTGCAGATATTACTTTATCTGAAAAAAGAAAAGTAATAATACGGTGGTAATACTTTTATACAAAATCATCTCAATGTCTAAAATTTTTCATTAAATATTTTTGGGCTTTAAAAAATCAATTCTTCAGGCAGAAAACAGATCAGAATAAAATATTCTGATCTGAAGTGAGACATGCGTTTAATCTCTTACAGAAGAGGTAGCAAAGAAACCAAAAAGTTAGTTAGTCCATTAGTAGTAGGAATTAAAATTCTTTCTTAATTTATTTGTCTATACTGAAAAATAAAATCCTTCATATCAAGAGAGCTATATATCGTAACCAGCCGTGATTGTGATTTTGATTTTGATAATAAAGAATTAATATAAATACACCTTTAAATAAAATTTAAAATTACGATGAGCAAGTAAATGAATGAATTTACAAAATTACTACAATTTATGACTTTAGTTATTGCGACTTACTAGTTTAATTAGAGTGATTACAACAACAAAAACAACAACAATAACCAAATTAATTTTGCCGCTACAAATAAAATGCCGTATTAGTGGCATCTAGTCTCTCAGCTTCCTTCGTTGAACAGTCTTACCGCATCTCAGCGGGGAAAAGGAGCTGACAAGGACCCGATTAAGGGTCATCCGCAAAGTTCTTACTGTGCAGTGGCGTGTTGCGTTCGTTCCTGGACGGCTGGGCGACGGCGGGGCCTTGGCCGCAGCGGGCGGCGGGGGAGGGCGGGCACGCCCCACGCCGTCCTCGCCTAGATTACAGCCGCCCGCGATGCTGCGTGATAGTCACAGTGCTTCTCAATGGAGAAACCAACGACCCAATCGGCCGTCGCGCTCTCGTCCACCCAGGCCGCTCACAAGACGCACGAGCTCAGGACCCACTGTGGCGGCCGTGTTAACGAGGCGATGGACTGAGTTCGATTCCCGAATCAGGTGGGACCGGAAAGTGCCGGCCGGAGCACAATAAGATGACCTCATGCGTTCTAAGCCCGATTCTAGTGCTGAAAATAAACTGTACGTTCATCATTCAGCGAGTCAGTATTGCAATTCATTGCGAATTCAAGCTAGAACGCAAGACCTCACAAGATCCTGTTTGAGATTTAAATTTACAAGTGCCAAGTTCAGTTTGAAGCACATGCTCGAGATGCAAACGCCAAGTCAAAACGAATTCAGAGCTTGAGACAGAAACCAAGTGTCTCTTCGAAAAGACGGACACCAAGTGATTTTGGAGCCTCACACGCGGCAAAACGAACGCTTCAACCCCCTCCTCTGATTCGAGTGCCTCACCCTGATTGCCTAAAATCAGCTATGGGGAGCTGAGCTATGGGGAGCTATGGGGAGCTATGGGGAGCTGAGGCGAGGCGATCTGGGGACCATTACATTCCGTTGCATTTCTGGTTGGATGGTTTAACGTGGCTCATACGCGGGGGCGGGGCATGTACGTCACTTTGGCCCCCGGTTAGTGGAATTCGACGCAGCTATGGTCTAACGAAATGAAAATATTCATTTTTTAAGAACCGCCTGACCGACGCGCAAGTGCGCGTTACGAACCGCTGGTATGAATTTGTATGAGCGGTTTAAACCGCCTCGCCCCACGTGTGTTTATGAAAAGTTACGGTGTCTTTTTATAGTAGCACACTCGCGCCCGTTTCCATTATACTCTATGGTCTTTACAATCGGGAGGAATCGAGTGTTGCCCCATCCTGCTGCGCCGTGGCGTCTTTTGATTGCTTAGCAAACTATTGGGGGTGCCTCGATGTGATAGGTACGTGGCGGTCAGTATCTCGTGGCAGCCTCGCAAAAAAATATTTGTGGTGAGGCCCAAATGGTCAAAAATATATCCGTCCGTGTGTCGTGACGGCTGAGGTGGCGGGGGCAACAGGGTAGGCCGGTCTTGGTTCGTTAAGTACCGCGCTAAATGCCCGCGTTGCGACAAGTGACTTAATTATTAAGATCAGGGGTGGAGTTGATCAAGTGCGTTCAGGGAGGACGTGTTGTTCGAAAGTAAAACACAGGTCTGTCCCCCCCCAGCTGATGTAGGTGATAGGCACTAGTGACAGGCTAGAGTGCTAGCAATAGAAATTACATTGGTACCTCGAATTGCAGCTTGTAAAAAATGAGAACGTAAATTGCCTACTCCCCACAACATAACTGCTTCTGGAAGTGTCCCCTTTCCTTGTTTCCCAGTGATCTGGTTGCTACAAACATATATGCAGTTGTAAGAGCACGTGATTCGGTACATTTGGAGAGACTTTTCTGGAACACGTTAGAAAGGGGGCAATGAAAGTCGCAGAGCACCGGGACCGGAAGCTATGCCAATTGAATTAATTAAAACTGTCACTTCAAATACCTTCGATATCATGGCACAGATTTTCAATAATAAGTGTTTGGAAGAGATTTAGCTCCCAAAGAATGGAAAATGTCACACACTTTATCTTGTTAAAGTAGTCCGCAAGAACTAATGTGAAAGTGATGAGGGCATTAGTGTTATCAGTACAATTGGGAGACTGTACGACCGGATATTAAGGGAAAGATTGGAAACAGAGGTGGAGGAGCAGAATGGTTTTGGCTTGGCGAGATCTTGTATTGATAACATTTCTGTCAAAACCAAATTACCGAAAAAAAGAATCGGTGTTGGTAGAGAGATTCATATGGTATTTATAGATCTAAAAGAATCATTTGACTAGGTACCTCTAACTAAACTGTGGGATATTACGGAAGTTGAGAATGTAAATACTGTTATGGTATAAACAGATAGGGCCGTGTCAGCGGCCCAGCAGCGCTCCGTGACTGACGGCGCACGTGCCAGCAGTGGAGTTGCTGGGAGGCGCCGCTAGGTGGCAGGGCGGCAGCGTCGGTAAGGCGGCCCGCTGAGCCGGAACGGCGCGAGCAAGGAGAGTTGCTGGGAGGCGCCGCTAGGTGGCAGGGCGTCAGCGTCGACAAGCCGGCCCACGGAGCTGGAACGGCGCAAGACATGAAGACTCGCTCCACTGGTTCGGGATGGATAAAACGGCCGGCCCGTGAGGCCGCAAGACAGAGTCGATCCCGAGCTAGTGCAGAGTGCGTACGAGTCCGTGTCCAGTGTATTCAAGTGGCTAATTGGTAGTAAGGCTATTTCTCCGGCTAATTGTGACTTACACTTATTTAAGGGACATTTTCTGGTAAACGACGACCTGGCTTTGAATTTTGGTTTATGTTATGGTTTGTGGAATAAAGTGACTTTTTGATACGAACTGTTGTTTCCTTTGGCCTGAATATACAACAAATACAGGGAATATAAACGCTATAAAGCGTCTCTATGCGAATTGTAAAAACTGCGTACAAGTTGGTTCAAGTAGTTCTTCAGCTTTTAAAACAAAGACCTAAAGCAAGGTTGGTGTATATCCCCCACTCTATTTAAAATACATATTAAATGAATTCTTCACACCTGGAAAAAAGTTAAAAGGCATGGGAGTACCTATTGGTTCATATTTCTTATATACCTTGATGTATGCAGACAAAGTAGTCTTAGCCAGTGATGAGGATGATATCCACTACATGGCTAGAAAATTAATTGAAGAATATGAAGACGACATTAATACATCAAAAACAAAATATATATTAGTGAGAGGCAATGGTTAAAACCTTTAAACCCATTGGGGCTTAATTAAATGTGTAAAGAAATTACACAATCTGCGTGTAACTTAAACAAATTATGATCGTAATAGAATCGATGTCCTGAAAAAACAAATAGAGGTAGGCAAGTTATAAGATATTTATATCTATTGACATGGCATTCTAGAACAAAACGAAACACAAAAAAGTATCACATCGTCGAGCAATCGCAATCCGACTATTCACCAAGACTGTAAAGAATACCTTTTGCAAGGCAAGTCCTCGAGATGTGTTCCCAGGGAAGTTCAGTGCACCGTCTCCCGGTGATTGCAAGCCCAGCGACTACGATTGCGGCACACTAATAAGTCACACTAAAGTATTTAGTAACTGGCAGCAAAATTACGAGAGTAGTTACTATATACGATTACGAGAGAGATTACTACATAATTTAACTGAGCGTTTGCTTATGCACAGGCGAAAAATGGCGGTCTCGACGCAAGGCGCTGACGCCCACTTTCCACTTCCGCATCCTGGAGCAGTTCGCGCCCGTCTTCCTCAGCTGCGGCGACGAGTTCGTGCGGCAGCTGCGGAAGCGCGCGGGCGGCGACACCTTCGACGTGGTGCCGCTCATCAAGCTCCTCACACTCGACATCATCTGCGGTGAGCCCTTCTTTCACACCGCTTCTCTTCTTGCCTCCGTCCTCGCGGAGCCACCTTCGACCTGTCGTTCGTCAAGCTCCTCACACTCGACATCATCAGCAATGAGACCTTGTTTTATACCGCTTCATGTCTTACCTCCTTTCTCGCAGAGTCACCGACTTGACGCTTGTCAAGCTCCACCCAATCGAGGTCATCTGCGGCGAGACTTTCTGTCTGACTGTTTCTTATACGTCTCTCACTGCGGATCCACTTTTGACTTCGGGCAAATTGCTCATCATTGACATCCTGAGATGGATTCCTTCTCTTTATCTCTGCTTTTTTTTCTTACCTGCCTGCTAGAGCAATTAGCACTATATGTTTGAAAAGTTTAAAAGAACAATTTGGAGCCATTTTTGAGAAAATTGCGTTTGAGCGTTTCTCCAAATGCGGATATATAAAATTACTTTCGCACAAATTTTTGAGTTTTCAGGAAACTTTATTTGACATTATTTAAAGCAAGTGCACTCATAAATACAATACATTAATGTAAAGAAATTGTCGGTAATGTAAATATTAATGTTGTTACAAAAAAGGCAAAAAAGTATGTTTATGTAATTTTCAAAAACAAAATATTAGTGCAAAATGGCATTAATGTCATCTTATAGAGTGCATTTAGTAATATACCTCTTAAAAGTGTACCGAAAAAATTTAGAGCTGTTCGTCAGAAAATCGTTTTTTAAAAAAAATTTAAATTGCAAATATTACTCGCAAATTGCTTGAGATGTAATAAAATTTTCATAAACAACGTGAATGGCCTTAATGAAAGAACTAATTATAAACAGCAAATTTTATATGAAGCAAAAACATTTATCTTCAATTTAGTAGTTGTAAGAAGAAGCGAAAAAAATTCAAAATTTTTCAACATTCCAAATTTTAGAAGAAATTGTGGAAATTGAACCTATGCTACCTTTTAAAGTATTTTACTCTATTGTTACAAGAAATTGAAAGATAAACATTCGAGTCTCTTTTGAGAAAATTTTGAAATATCCGGGGGGCTTCATGTAAAGTACCCACAAATATTGAAGAAAGTTTTTCCAAATTGTGCACCGTCAAATGGAGTCAGATCGACTTGGAAAATATCCATTTTGAAAAAAACGTATGGTTTACATACTAGTGGAGTTCACAGGTACACGGACGGACGGACGGACGGACGATCGGACGGTCGGACAGAGAGAAGGCAGACGGACGTTTTGAAAAAAAAATATTTTCGCGTTCGAGGACCCCAAAAGTGTATTTACGTTAAAATCTCGAAATCGATATTCCGCCGCATTACGTAACTTTCTTTATATTACGTATATTACTCGCCAAAATTTTTTTTAAATTTCTTAAAACCAAATTGTTTCAAAAAGCTTGAAATTTGTCAGAGAATATGCCATTTAAGATGAGGTTTTACTGTTCTTCATTATTATTAAATTAATATATTTGTCCTATAATTAGGTAACAAAAAAATGGAACATTACTTTGAAAAAAATGTAGTTTTGTCGGCTACAGATGGCAGCTAGGAAGACTTTATGGCAAGTCCGGGTTGCTATCCGCGTCCAAAAGAAATAGAAAACTAAAACAGGAATGTGTGTGCCATTCTGCAACACCATACTTTTCATGAAGCCTTGAACTTTAGTATTTGGGGACAACTTGAATTTTTCTTAAAAGACTCCAATTTCTTCTTTAATTTTCTAGTACGAATAGAGTTAAATACATTTATAAAGGTTGTACAGGTCCGAGTTTTACTTTTAACTCTGCATTTTCGAAAATTGCATATTTTTTTATTTTTTTGTCGTCTCCCTACAACTACAAAATTGTAGGTAGAGATTTTCCTTTCAAATGAAAATTGTTTTTCATATTACACTTCTTCATTAAGGTCTTTTTCATTTTGTGGCAAGTTCGAATATCTAGCCGAGATTAAAGGAAATAGGAATCTAATATGGAAAAGGCTGTGCCATTCTGTAGCACCACTAGTTTTAGTTTCTCAACGTTACACCACATTTTGAGCGATTTATAAGCACTATTGTATTTCAATGAATTCCAATCAAGTTTTCGAAAACGAAAAAAAGTTTGTGAACAAGTTCCAAATTTTGCATTTACTGTAACGCTTAAACGCAACTCACTTAAAAACCGCTCCATTTTTTTAATTTGCCTGTAGATCTATGCTCTACTTGTATATAATATTCTTTAATTAATATTTTGGCTTGGCTTTAATATACAACAACCTAATTTTGAGAATATTCGATAAAAATTAACTCTTGGCTGCGATAGTTCGCAGCCATCAAGAAGATGGGGTAAGACCGAAAAGCAAGGCCAGACGTAAGAAGTTAGGAAATTAGTACGAGAATGTTTGTGCAGTGCAGCACTAGTTTAATATCTTTTAAGTTTTTAATATATTGTTACGGGCGTTTTTTAAACCTCACCTGTTTTTTTAAAGTTGAGTGCACAAAACTTTTCTGTGAAAATGAGCTCAAAATTGCGCATTTTGAGAAGCGATCAAACGATATTTTCTTAATTTTTTAAAATCAATGTTTGCCTTTAACACTATTTTTACTCTTCTGTATTATTTTAGAGAACCGAGAAATTAAGAAAAGTGAAAAGAAATGAATTTTGGTATATATCAGTTGTGAAAAGTGTTGAGCAACACTAAGCAATCTAGTCCAAATTAAAGAAATAATGAAGCTTATTAGCTCGACAATGTCTGTGCTATTATGTAGCTTAGTAGAGCTTTATCTTTTATAACTATTTATTTTTTCAGAAACGGCAATGGGAGTCAAGATGAATGCTCAGAACAATGTAAATTCAACCTACGTACAAGCTGTCAACGAGTAAGTGTTAAAAAACTGAGTGCTCTTCTGCGATACATTTTTTATAGTTCACTAGTACATTCCTGTGTGTTTACAAAACTGAAACAAAACACGTAATAGTATAGTTAAAACCATTGCCGATCTTTCTAATTATTTATGTCCGAGGGTCTTTTGAATACTTTATGGCCCACTAATACCAACACAACACTTAAAACATTTTTATAAATTCAATTTATTAAAGTTAAGATATAAGCAAATACAATAACTAAATTATGGAATTTTGCAATTTTGGGGTGAATCCCATCTCTATTTATGGGCTGTATTGTAGAATTATTTTCGACAGGCGGTTGTACAGCATCCTTTCAATGTGCTGGGCCCAAGAATTTATGTAGTAATTGATTTTCTCTTGAAGATTACATTCCCCACGTTGTTTACGAATTTCTAAATTCCTATTACTGTCCACCAGATTATAACCGCCGACTGATCTCAGAAATCTCATTTCTGCACTTTGTGGTCTTGTGCTATCTTTTTGGTCAATGTTCAATTTTCCTTTTGCATACGAACACGTTGAGTTACTTAATACCTTAAAGAATTTAATCATTGTGACCTTTATGACTTTCTTTTTTAAGTTTTTATCCTGTATTTATCATATTTCCTCTCATTTTGTATCCTAAGAAATTTAAACTTGAACCTTGCTCGAAAAGTGAATTATATACAAACAATTTGGATCTAATCGGTTCCATCCTTTCAAAGACCATGACTTTTGTTTTTGTGTAAGATATGCAAAGATGTACATTTCAGATATCTTTTGTAATTCAAACAGTGCTTTCTGGAACCTATAGTCATCATTTCCTATTATAAATTGGTCATCTGCGAATAATATAATCATTAAGTTGCTTTCTTGTCACATGTCTTGACTATATTAGTCGTGATATTCATATATTTAATGCTTTATCTAAATCTAAATTAAAAATAATTGGGGAAAGATTACATCCTTGTGTTATTGCTTTGCGTATTATTTCTTTCTTATTCTCTTGATCCTTGATACAAATTTTTGAGTTACTGTAGATGTTCCTAATGACCGAAATCAGTGGTGGGAGACCTTTTCGATGCAATACATTAAATAGCGTATTTCTGTTTACTGTGTCAAAAGCTTTGGAGTAATCTACGAAGAGCATGTGAGTTATTTTATTAAATTCTTATATGTTTCTCAATGATCTGCTTGACAAAGATGATATTATCAGAGCATGACATGTCTTTACTGAATCTATTAAGTTCTTCCAACAACATTGTCTCTGCAATATTACGTATTCTGGATGATAAGATTTTTGAATAAATGTTGTAATATTTTAAAGACTTCTTCCTCTATAATTTTCACTAGACGACCGATCTCGTATCTTAAATATAGGGCTTATTACAGAAATTTTCCAATCTTGCAGTATAAGTACATTTTTACAACATAGACTGAGAAAGTGTAAGAGCCGTATCTTTAAATTTTCTGAGGCATATTTAGTAATTTCGCCTCTAATGCCATCGCTTCCATTTGCTTTTCTATTTTTTTATTTTTCTTAAGGCTTCTTCCAGTTCCTCATATTCTATTTAATCAACATCTCTTTTTGTTTTTAAGGGTTCTTCTTTGTTTTCATGACCAGATTCTGTCCATATTCGTTTATAATAAGAGAAGAAGTGGTCAACTTTCACAACTTGAATGTTTGCTATATCATTCCTCACTCTATTTAGATGATGCATTACTATATAGCTCATTGTCTGGCGCCCGTGTATATCATGCTCCAGGTTAGCTACGTATCTGCCCCCTAGGGCTGCAGAGGGAAAAAAGAGACAGAGGGAAAAAAGAGACAGAGGGAAAAGAGAGACAGAGGGGGAGAGTTACAGAGAGATAAGGGGAAAAGGGGGAAAAGACAGAGAAAGAAAAAATGGAGAGAAAAAGGGAGAGAGAAGAATGCAACAGGGGAAAGAGTGAGAGACGGAAAAAGAGCGATAGTGAAGAAGAGAGATAGGGAAAATTAGAGACAGAGAAATACACAGAGAAAGAGAGAGACAGGAAACAAAAGAAACATAAAAAAAAGGGAGACAGATGAAAAAGAGAGTCAGAAAAAGGAAGACAGGGGGAAAATGGGAGACCTAAGAAAAAAGAGAGAAACAAGTAAAAAGAGAAACAGAGAGGAAAAGAGACGGGCGAAAAAGAGTGACAGAGGGAAAAAGAGTGGCAGACGGAAACGGGAGAGAGGAAAAAATAGAGACAGAGAGGAACAAACTGAGCGAATAAGTGAGCCAGTGGAAAAAAGAGAGCCAGGAGAAAGGGGAGACCAAAGAAAAAAGAGAGCCAGGAGAAAGGGGAGACCAAAGAAAAAGAGAGCCAGAGGGAAAAGTGAGTGGTGGTGGTGGTGGTGGTGGTGGTGGTGGTGGTGGTACGTCGTCGTCGTCGTTATTTTTATTTATTCAAGTTCGACCGTCCAAATTACTCTATATAATTAATTCTTTTCTATTTCCAATCTCTTATAAAACAGCTGTCAATTGTTCATAAAATTATATTTTTCCGGTATCATTTTTATCATCTGTCGAAGCCTATACGCTAATTATTACAACATCGTATCCTTTTAATTTTAATTGCACCATAATCAAACTTTAATTTTTCTGATTCCATCTTCACATGCTGATTGGCCATTTCTTATCTATCAGAATTGATACACAGCTCGTCTTAGCTCGTTCTTTTTTATTAATTCCACTGAATATATGGATATAATTTTCAAATTTTTCACATTCCTTTCCCTTCTTTGTTCTCTGTTCTTATAATATATAATTTAAATCTCTGTATCTCTTTAAGTACTTCTTCTTCAAGTACAGTAAAAACCATTCATAAAAATAGTTAGTAATAATAATGATAATAAATTTATTGGTCTCAGTGTAGGGCAAAGATTCTCACAGTAGTGGAGTAGCTCAAAATTAGATTCTTCAGAGGAGATATCTCTGGAGAGCGTTTTAATACAGCTTATTGTACATTGTCCATATTGTCGAATACTGTTCACTGTTACCATTGCCTACATTGTTTTGATTCATTGTCTACACTATTGGCATTTACCATATTATAGTTCCACGTAATGCCCACTGTCCACTGACTGCACCACCATCCCTATCCTCGGCCCACTTATTGGCTGCTGTCCATTTTGTTCGCCGTTAACCGCATACTTGACCATTATCGGCAGCTGAACCCGCTAAAATTGTCGAACCTATTACCTTGACTATCGCTTTTCTTGACCACAGAGTGCCGAATAAAGCTCTTATTTCATCCCTCCAGCGAGTGTTTGACTTTCCACGTTTGGTTTGCCAATTCTTGTGCCCTTTGCCCACCTCTTCGGGTCCAAACGTATTAAGTCACCGTTCCCATGTAAACTTTTCTGCCTCTCCGTTCCCATGTAAACTTTTCTGCCTCTCTGCATACACCTCTTAATTTCTCTTTATTTCCCTTTAGTACCAATCAGCCATCAGTCTTTTTATTCCCACAGGATCACATCGATTACCGCGATTCGCGCCCTTCGTCCGTGGCTGCATCTAGACTTCATATTTTATATGACAACAACTGGTCGCAGATACAAGAAGTGTTTACAAGTGCTACATGGAACAGCTGAGAAAGTAGGTAACATTGTTAAACTCTTTCTTCTCTTTTTTTCATGATGTACAAGATATTTTCATTAGTTATTTTTTACATTTCAGGTAATTAAGGAGAGAAGAGAAGAACTACTGGAGATGGGCAAGGACTCTGCAATGAACTCTGCAATTGATGTCGACGACATTGGTAGGTTGTAAAATCAAGAAGCCAAATTAAATAGTCACCCATTAAATATTGTTACGTGTATTCAAATTATTGTTGAAATATAAAATATAAAAGTATATATTTCAGGTCCTAAATTGCAGATTTCATTCATAAATTTCATATTCAATTAGTTGCCTAACTTTTGAAAAATCACATATTTAGCCCTTGGCATGAGACTTTTGCGCCGTTAATTGACCGATAACTCTGTAATTAATCGTGCCTACTTGCGAGGACTATCCCGTTTGTGTTCAGAGTCACGTGATCCTCTTTCTCGTGGCGATGCTTCGTGGCGTCAAAGAAGGATGCTCAGTGCATCCACGTTCTTTGCTTCGCACGTGCTGACGTGTGTGAGCATGCGCAGGATCGCAGCGGCGCCAGGCGTTCATGGAACTGCTGCCGTTCGCGAATTTGACGTACTGTGTGCGCATGCGCAGGGAGCCGCCATCGCGTGCCGTTCCTAGACCTCCTGTTTCTGGCGTATCTGACGTAGTGTGTGCGCATGCGAGGAGATTATTGAAATATAATATAGGAAAATATCTTTGTTTTCAATTTCCGGGTTCTAAAACCTGCAGATATCAGTAATATTAGTTTATATATTATTTTATTATCTACTAATCTAGTTATATTCATTGTGGTTTGCCTAATTTTGGAACGTCATGAAGACTTTTGAGATGATACTTTATGCCATTTAAAATTTTTCTACCGATATCTCGGTAATTAATCGTGCGTACTTCTGAGGAATTATTCCGTTGTGTTCAGTGTCACGGATCCTCGCTGGGGAATGCCTTTCGTGCGTCAAAGAAGGTTGCCTCAGTGCATCAAGGTTCTGTGCTTCGCACGTGCTGACGGTGTGGTGCGCATAAAACGCAGGAATCGCGGCGCCTGGTGTTCGTTACCTGCTGTTTGTTAACGTAAATCTGTACACGTACTGTGTGCGCCGCCGTCCGCTTGGGCTTTTCCTGGACCCGTTGTTGCTGGCGTCTGACTAAGTGGTGTGCGCATGCGCAGGGCACCGCCTTAGCGCGTGGCGGTCCCTGGACCTGCTATTTTCACGTCATATCTGACGTACTATGTGCGCCATGCGCAGGGCGGCGGCGGCGCGTGGCGTTTCTGACCTGCTGTTTCACGCCATATCTCGAACGCAAAAGTGTGTGCTCATTGCGCAGGACGCCGGTGGCGCGGTGCCATTTTCTGGACCTGCTGTTTCTGCCGTATCTGACTAGTGTGTGCGCCATCGCGCAGGGCACCCGCCTTAGCGTGGCGTTCCTGGAACCAGTTGTTTTGCGTATCTGACGTAGTGTTTTGTGGCCGCAATGCGAGGGCAACCGCCTTAGCGTGCGCGTTCCTGACCAGTTTGTTTTTTGGCGTATTGACGCAGTGTTGTGCGCATGGCAGGGCACCGCCTTAGCGTGGCGTTTCCTGGACCTGCTGCCTGCTGGCGTAATCTTGACGCAGTGTGGTGCGCAATGCCGCAAGGACGGGCGGTGGCGGCGTGCCATTCCTGGACTGCGGTTTTCTGCCGTATCTGATCGTGTGGTGCGCATGCGCAGGCGCACCTTTTTAGGCGTGGCGTTCCTGGACCCAGTTGTTTTTTGGCGTATCTGACGTAGTGTGTGCGCATGGGGCCGCAGGGGGCCCGCCTTAGCGCTGGCGTTCCTGGTCCTGCCTGTTTGCTGCGGAATCTGACGTAGTGGTGTGCGCCATGCGCAGGGCAGCGGCGCGCGCGTGGCGTCTGGCCGCTGCTGGCCATGCTGGCGAGCGCGCGAACGGCAAGACCCTGGTCGGACGCCAGACATTCGCCGAGAGGTGGACACTTTCATGTATCGCGGTAAACGCATTGCCATACAATTTAACAACGATCGCCAATAATCCGATAGTAACATCTGCGTGTCAGGTCATCGATATTAGTCGGTTGGATTACGGTTCGTGTACATTTATGAATACAGGATTGTCATATTACTTGATCCCGATCTCCTCAAATACTTTGCCGGAATGTCAAAAATGTCCCTAGGGCCTTTTAGCTGACAGCCTTATGCTACTCTTATTGAAACCTAGGTTCGTGTTGGAAGTGAGAGTTTCGTGTACATTTGTGAAAATTAACGGCATTGTCCCCGATTTTTCCAGAG